CCCCCCGGCGTTAACCACACCGTCCTCTTCGAGCTGGCCAAGGCCCTCACCGTGCCCCGGCTCTTCGTGCAGCTGCTGCTGGCGCTGCCCCGCCACCTGCGCCGGGGCGAGCTGGAGCGCTTGGTGGAGTACGTCGCCAGCGAGACCTCCCCGGCGGACGTCAGCTTCTTCCTGGACGTGTGGTGGGAGGTGATGAAGCACAAGGAGGAGCAGGAGGACGGGACGGCCTCGACGTTCAGCGCTCTCATCCGTCAGCACGGGTCCGAGTCCTCTCCGGACGACGGGCTCCAGCCCCCCAAGAGGTTCAAGAGCGACCCTGTCTCTGTGACTGGCCCGCCGGCTGCCGCCAGCCTGCTCGTGGTCCTGATAGAGGGGCTGAAACAGACCTACAGGAGCATCACCCTGCCCCGCATGAGGTGCTACGCCTTGGCCAACCTGGCAGAGCTGCTCTCTGTGTTCACCGAGCTGGAGCCAGAGGGCAGGTCCCTCCCCGTTGCTGAGTACCTGGACAAGGTCAGCTCCGTGGTCAGCCTCTGGAACAGCGATGCTGAAAGCCGGTACCACCGGAGAGGGCTGGACGAGAAAGTGAGGGAGGCTGAGAGAAGCATGAGCCTCTTGTCCGTCGTCAAGCTCTCTGACGAGGAGCTCTTTGCTGGCTTGGACTTTCTCCGCACCTTGCTGCATGCCTGGGGAGAGGAGCTGCAGGGCACTCTGAACAACTCTGAGGAGCTCTGCTATGAGAGCTACCGGCTCCTTGATACGCTTACCACCCTCAGAAAGAACCTGGTTTGCTTCTCAGAGACTAGAGACCTGAGCGAGGACGAGAAGTCCGTAGTGCTAGAGCTGACACAGATCATCGGGGACTTTCTCAAGAAGATCAGCACCAGTCTGAAGAGCAAGGATTCAGACACCAGCCTTGTCTCTTCAGTTGCCATGACAATCATTGAGCGGAAGCTGGACCGGCACGTGGAGATGTGCTCCGTTTTTGCTTCTGAACAGACCTGGGCCTTTTCAAAGGACTGGGTTGACTGCCTTGTGAAAAACAAAACTCTCTTCCAGAAACCAGAGCTAGTTTTGAAATTGCTGGATACTGTGGTGAACTTTACTGTGTCCTCCCAAGACAGGGAGGCCCGAGAGTTGCAGATGCAAGTGACCAGAGCCATCCTGGAGTGTTACACTGAGCTTTCATTAACTGACAAGAATGAAGTCCTCTCAGGTGTCCTGGCTTCCTGGGGTGGTCCGGGTCTGTCCCTGAACTTGCAGGTTGTCATGGAGGGATTCCAGGAGGATCTGAATGTGACGTTCAACCAGATAACGCAGAGCGTGTCCGATCAAGGCCTGTCCAGGGCTGTGGCTTCTGTGGCCAGGCTCACTCTGCTGTACCCTGAGGCCACCGTGAAGAAGGTTTGTAATCTTGCTGTTGTCAACCTAGGAACACACCAGTTCCTTGCCCAAATCCTCTGCTCCTTCCCAGCACTGAGCTTCCTGGAGACCCACGATGATCCAGGCAGGCCACGCAGTCTGATAGTGAGGTGTCTGAAGGAGGCGGTATGGGGGAAGCTTTCCACAGCGAGAGAAGAGGAACAGTTTCTTGAGTTCTTGGCCTTTCTCATGCAGCCAAGCTCAGCAGCTCCACTTGTGTCACCTGCAGAGGTGACTAAAGCCTTTATCCTTCCCTGTTTGAAATCAGACTGCGCTCAAATTGAGCTGAGCCTGCAGATCCTCAGTAAGGTTTTGGGGATGCAGTCCTATCCAGAAGAGCACTGGATCAAGTCCTGCTACCCATTCCCGCTCCTCCTCAGCCTCTGCAAGCTTCTGGATGGTTACACAAGGTACTGGCATCGGCCCAGGGACCAGCACTTCCCTTCACTGGAGACCAAAGACCTGGTGGTGAACACCCTCTCCCAACTCTGTGAAGTGGTAAGACCAGAAGCCGCCCCATCCCCTGAGGTGTGGGTCCAGTCGCTGGCTTGGCTTCATAGGAAGTTGGCATCACTGGACTGGACTGTTGGTCTCCACCTGAAGAAGCTTTACGGAGACCATTTCAAGAATGAGGTCCCAGAGACGCTATTTGAGATCTGCAAGCTCCCAGAGGACGAGTGGACGTCCCGGCCTTTACCAGCCTACGGGCCGGGCAGCGGGCTCTTGGCATGGATGGAGTGCTGCTGCGTGTCCACAGCGCTCAGGGAGACGATGCTGACGCTCCTCACGGTCAACGTGGACAACCCTGAAGAAGTGAATCTCTTCAGCAAAGGGTTCCTGGTGGCCCTCATACAGGTCCTCCCTTGGTGCAGCCTTAGCGAATGGAAGAGGCTGGCGCATGTGGTCCAAAGCTTGCTGCAGAGGCAAGTCTTACATGTGCCGTACACGCTGGAGTACGTCCAGTACATGCCCCTGCTCAACCTCCGGCCTTTTGCCCACTACCTCCAGTTCTCTGTGCTTTTCCTCCGAGGCTTCCAGCTCCTCTGCAGCTCCAGCTGCTCCACTTGGCTGCCGGCAGAGGCCTGGCTCCACGTGGTCCAGCTGTACTGCAGCAGCCTAACGGACCTGTTGGGCTCCATCAAGAGCACCACGGTGCCCCCCGTGCCCCCCGCCGAGGACATGAACCCCACACAGGAAGTGTCCTTTGTCTGCATCCAGATGTTCTGCCATGTGCTGCACGTCGCTGCCATGCTGCCGGACAACGGGTGTGGCGAGCCGCTGGTGGTGGTGGCGTTGGAGGTCCTCTCGCAGTACGAGGCCTTCAGTGCCGCCGATATGTCCCCCAGCAACGCGCTGCGGAGAGCCAATGAGAGACATTTCCTGGAGTGCATCACGGACAATGTCGGCGACAAGGCGCTGCGGAGCACCCTTCTGCAGAAGCTCAGCAAGCTGGGAGCTTAGGCAGCGTGGCCAGCCAGGGAGCCAGCTCGGGAAGCTGAGCAGGGCAAAGGAGGAGAGCACAGACCCTGCAACAGGGGACCTGATAACGTGCAGAGCTGTAAGACCGATAATAAACCTTATCTTTTTTTCTCTTTTGAATTTATTTCCCCCCTGCAGTGTTTTCTCCCCACCTATCTAGGCAGTGACGTGGCCATATAAGGATGGATGGGAATGGCCACTCCAATTTCCCGGCTGGAAAAGCTGTGGATGCAGCTGTTGCTGACTCAAGGCCCAGGTCCCGTGGCTCCAGCCTAGCCTGGTAGCGGTCTGCATTTCCAGTGAGTCCACGGAGAGCTCAGCAGCCTCCGACATCCAGCTGTGTCAGGGAAATCACTTCTCTCTGGCTTGCCCCCAGGCAGCCCCTGGGTAGTCACAGGTGGGTTCCTGGGTTCACCGCATGCTGCCGGCGGAACGGGAAGCAAGTCAAGTGAGAGCTCGCTCATGACTAGCCGTCATCTTTGGCAATAAGTGTGGGTTGCTCCTGCCCTGAGCTGGGTGTGAAGCTGTAACCTGGATTGCGGTGTGTTCATGCCTCCCCGCCCAGAAATGAATGGTGTGTGGGAGAAACACATCCAAGTGGGGTGACTCTGGAAAGAGGTCTTTATTGGTCTCTTCTGATAGGTGCAGTAGTAAATAGGGCAGTGTTAGTGCAAACGGAAATGCCTCATTGGCTTTTTTTCTTTCCTTTACATAAGGCACATTATTTGTAATAAAGACAGCAAGATACAAATATTTGTAAGAGATAGCAAGCGTTTTGTAACATGAGCTGGTCTCTGGATTTAACACAAGTAGTAGTGTTTCTGCAACAACCTACTGCATGTTGGAAGAGGCCTTCTTTTATTCTTTCCAGCCTGTACAACTGTGGCTGGAGCAGCATGTCACCAGAAAAGAAAAAGGGGTCTCTCAGAGCGAAGCACTTTCCAGCCATTCTTATGTAGCTTTTAGACAGAACAAGAGGCACAGAGCGGCTGCGGGTCTCTGGGCTCCCAGCGCGATCGGCCGCAGCGAGGCTGCCGGGGCCGCGGCTGGTGGAGTGAGCGCCCGGGAGCAGAGGGAACCCTTGGCTCGCGCGGGAGGTTGCAGGGAGGAGGTGGCTGCCCCGGCTCACACTGTGCGCAGGGGAAACTTGCCCCAGGAGGGAATTGCGTTCGGAGCAGCTGGACTGTACATGCCCACTCGGATGGGTAGTCTGCTGCTGCAGCCGTGGTGCTGGGGGCAGCGGGGAGGCCTTTGCCTGTCTCCAGTGTGACGCAAGGTGGAAATAGGCTGAACCCCTCAAGGACACAACTCAGCACCGGGCTCTAGTGTTGCCTGCTCCGGAAACCAGAGCCAGTTGGTTCCTCCTGCACTGCCCCAGTTCCTTCCCTGCCAGCTTCCTGCAGGCCCCCCTGTCGCGGGGGAGCGGGGGGGCAGGAGGGATGGACCCCACAACCGCAGCTTAGGCTGCGCTGGTAACCACGGGTGGGTGCTGCTGGTGTGGCTGGAGGGAGAGCAGGGGCAGGGCATGCCAGTGGGCTTTCAAATACATGTTGGGGGACGTGGGGCAGATAAAAGCATCCCCTTGCAAGTGCAGTTAGGGCAGGGGGTTGAAAGCAGCGTCCCCTGCCCCTGAAGGGCTCTGCGTGAGGCCCCATGGGTGGTGAGATGTCCCCATCCTGCCTTTGGTGCCGAGCTCCCCCTGCCCTGTCGGGATTGCTCTCTAAGACAGTGTAACCGTTCTCCGATCCTGCCGTGAACTTCTCCTCCCTCCTCCAGCCCGGTGAGCAGCACCAGAGCCTTCCCTACCCTCGGGACCGTCAGCCACAGACACCAGGCAGCTGTAGTGAAATGCCCCTTTGGGCTAAATGGAGAGTCTGTGAGTGAGTTTGAGCCTCGCAGCAGTGAGGAGTGCACGTGAGAGGTAAGAAGCTGAATGCAGCTGTAGTGTAAAGGCAGTGTCAGAAAAGATCAGGAGTGGGCTGCGCAGACCAGCACCATGTTTTGGGGGCCTGGCTCTGCTCTCAGCTGGAGGCTGTAAATCAGAGCTGGAGAAGTGAACCTGAGCTGCGTTGGGTATGGCATGAGGCTCCCCCAGCCCCAAGGGCTGCTGCTTGGGGCTGGGCACGCTCCAGGATCGTCTGCGCTGCTGAGCTTGCTCTGCAGGCTCCTGTGCGCCGTGCCTCGCGCTGTGCTGGCCTCCTCTGGCATCAGTGTCAGCCCCGGAGATCGGGGGCTTTTTATAACAGCCCCCTCTCTCGTGACACCGTTGGTCAGTTAGGTGCCGCAGTGTTGAATCCCAGCCGGAATTTTTTTTGACAAACCTCCTCCTCCTCCTGACCTCCCACGGGTGGGAGGATGTGAGGCACGGGAGCGATATGGGAAGAGAAGTCTTCCTGTCTGAGGCTGGCGCTGCCTGGCACAGAGGTGGAGACAGCAAGGCTGCTTCAAACTAAAACCGCCTTGTGGTAGCGATGCTTCTCTGTGCTGCTCTGCTCCCGAGATGGTACCGCCAGTGCTGGCATTCGAAGCAGGAGAGCTGAGGAGGCTGACCTGGTCCCTGCCCCGCTCTTGGCTGCCCCTGCCAGCCGTTAACTACTTTTGTCAGCGGGCGAGCTGCTGTAGAGTCGGACGGCTTTGCGGCAGATAAGCCTGAACCAGTAGAGCTGCGGGGCGATGAGAGAGGCGTTTGCGATGTTGCAGTGCAGGGGGATGCGGAAAGGCACCATGTAAATGGGAATTCCCACCTGCCTGGCATAGGCTGCATACATGAACGGGAAGAGGAGAATACGGCAGAGGAAGAAAGTCACCAGGATGAGGATCCCGTTCACCTTGTGCAGGAGCGTGTCCTGCATTTTGAGCTGAGGAAGGAAGAAGGAGACCATGTTGTGAGTGCTGTGTAAGCAACTTCCCCAACTGCTCCTCCGGTGAGATTTACACTCAGAGAGCACGGAGACCCGTGCAGCAGGGAACCAGTCCCTGCCCCAAAGGGCTTGCAGGCCAGGAGCTGGATGCTGGGAAGTGCTAAATCCAGTCTCCTGTACCCTGGGGAGATGGCTGGCTGCTGGAGGCGGGAGAGGAACGTGGAAGGAGCACCCAGCAGGTGTGGAGAGAGAGGAGCATTTTGGAGAACGCTCCTCCTCTCTGCTGCATGAATGGGGCTGATGGAGAAGGGCAGCCTAGGGTGGGGAAAGGGTGCGAACCACTGTAGGGTTCCCAGGCACCCGCTCAGGGGTGTCCGGGAGCCATCCACTGAACGAGCCCAGCCCTGAGGCAGAGCACAATGGCTAAGACCAGCCTCGTCCCTCCTCACCTACCTGCATGAGGATTTTGCCCAGCGATACAAAAGGAGTGCTCAGCTCTGCTGTGAAGATGCAGCCCACGAAGAAGTCTCCCAGCTCACCCCTGAAGTGCTGCAAATAAACACAGCAGTGAGCCCAGGGCCCTCCCCACCGCAGCACGTTTCGTAGTTTGGGTTCTGCTAACAGGTCCTGCTGCTTTCAGGCCCGGGCTTCCCCAGCGAGGTGCCTGGGAGCTAACACTGAGTATCTCCAGGGTATCACGGGCTCCTGACGGGCAGAGATGCTTTGCCAGACACAGTCTTGATTGCAAGGGTGTTGAACGTAATGCCAGTCAAGTGACAGGCACAGATCCAAGATGCACAGCTTGAGGAACGCTTCCCTTTTGTCACTGTAAGTATTTGATCTCAAGCTGATTTTAATCCTAAAAGTCTAGCTGCAGTTTAGCTTGTAGGCTCTGAAAAGAGGAGGTGGATGCTTGTCAGTGGAGACCTGCTGTAGGTCAGTCTGGAAACAGCTGAGGTGGGAGAAAAGCACTGGGGAAGCGTTCAGGCATTTTGGCTTTGGAGCAGGTGGAGAATCTCCTCTACTGGAAGCTTTGAGGGACAGATTAGGACTGGTGGCACTGGCCTGCTTCCTGTCCTGTCTCAGAGCGCGTGACTGCCTGGGATGCCGTGCGGCAGTGCTTTCCCATCTGGCTGTCATTAGCCCATGCTCTGCGCCCTGCTTCCCGGGGCAGGGACAGCGGCAGGGAGAGCGTGCGAGGAGGAGTGACATCCCAGTGATGTAGGGAATGAGGCCTTGCTGGGAGAGGGAAGGACCTGCTGCAATTCAAGGACGAGGACAAGGACACCCAGGGACACCTCTGTCTGGCATTCCCCCACCCCACCCCATGTGTGCAGGGAACCCAACTGGGGGACAGCCACCCTACAAGGAACACCCCCTGCGACCCCTTACTGGAAGGGACAGCAGGGCTGCTGGTTTGAAACCCAGTGTGGCTCCTCCGTGGGCTAGATTTCACCGTGGCCGTGCCCAGCCCTTACCTGGGTGACGGGGGTGAGCACAATGAGGATGAAGAGGTGGTGGGTCACCATGAGCCGCTCCTGCAGGAGGAAGCTCCGCACGCTGGCCAGCGAGTGCTTTTTCTCCGCTACGCCCCTGTCTCTGCTCTTGTGCCAGTGGCACAGGTACATGACGTAAATGTCGTAGGTCATGTAGGGAACAAGGACCCAGATGTACTCCACGGCCAGCCAGTGCCTAGGGAAGGAGCAGCACACACAGAGGTATTGCCACAGCTTTGTCCATGTGCAGACGGTCTAGAAGGTGGAGGAGACCTAAATGCTGCTTCAGCAGCCACAAGCTGGTTGTACGCAGGGATGTAAAGCGTCTCTCTCGGGGCTCTGACAGACGGCGCTTGCTGCGGCCTGACATCCACCCCAGCCTCCCGGTTTTGCACAGCATCTCAAAGCCCATCTGCAAATACAGAAGAGTAGCCACGCTGCTGTAACCACGAGGGCCTGAGGATGAAAGCAAGCCGAAGTGGTGGTGGTGGTGGGGAACAAATCAGTCTCTTTTTTTAGGCTGTTTTAAAGTATAGAGCTGGTAAAACCAGACAGGCTCAGGAGGCAGGGAGAGCCTTCTCTAGGTCTGAAATGGAAGCAAACACTTGCTAAATGCAAGCTGAGAGGCGTCTAAGTGAACTCGATTAGGCTCACCAGCTAGACCCTCCCAGAGAAAAGGTACTGGTACCTGCGGAGCAAAAGGGGGAGCAGCAACTCCTCCAAGGTAATTCGTGAATGTGGCAGGTGAGCTGGGCAAGGCCATGTCAGCATGTTGTAAAAGCAACGTGTTTACTGCGTCAGTGACTTTCAGTGTCACCGTTTCAGTGCAGAGCTGTGCAGTCAGCCTTGCGTCAAGCAGGCAGGAAAGCCACAGCAACAGGAGACAAAGATCCAAACCTCCAGCAGTATCTAGGCTCCTGAGGAGTTCAGGGGCCCAGGTACTGCTGAAGGTCTGGTCTGCTGCACAGAAACTCGCCCGAATCCTGCAGTGTTTGCAGGGGAGAGCGGGGGCCCGGCACTCCCGTTCCCGGCCGACGGCTCCTTGGGCCTGCCTGGGTTCACGCCCCGCCGTGCCAGGCGCTGAGCACGCCAGGCCTGCTGCAGCCCAGCACAAACACAGCATTAACGTGAAGATCTTGATTAGTCCTGCAGCCGCCGTCACGTGCCAGGGGCTGGAGAGCTCTGCCGTGCAGGCTGGGGGTGCAGCACTTCTCAGGATCAAGCATTAATCTTGCACCTTCGCAACAGGTAATCTTTTCCCTCTAAGCCCTGGGACGTTCAGAGCTGATGCTTGGTAGGAATAAAACTTTGGGACTGGGTCCCCTCTGTCGGTCACACTGCTTCTGTTGGCAAAACAAGACAGCATTGCCTACCTAGTGTTTGAAAAGCACTCGGAGACCTCAGAGTTAATTAGAGATGCCTGGCCAGGACTTAGGAGGGTGAAGTGCAAAATTTTTCATATAGGTGAGAAACCCCTGCAAGACATTTGTCTGTTGGGAAATAATTGCACGCAGCTGCCTGTTCCCAAAGTGTGTCAGCATCCCGGTTGCACAACCCAAGCAACTATAACCCGAGTGCTGTATGTAGAGAGACCAGACTCCTTAAAAAATACTGCATGAAATGGTACTGATAAAAAACTGCTGCTCTAAGACATGTAGCTTGGGGCCCAAATAAGTCCGCTCTTGCTCACCTGCTATCTCAAGAAAAATTTCTTTGCATGCATTCCTATTTCAGATAGAAAGATATATGTGATGTAAAACAGGGAGGGGGACTGACCAGTTATTGTGTTTGTAGAACTTGCCCAGGGCTTTGGAGGGCGCTTACAGTGCCAGCAACATAATGATTCTCTGACTAAGTAAATTAAATGGCACATTTTCCTGCAACCTTTGTGATGCTTCCTGGCTCTCTATCTTGCCATCGTTTTCTGTGACCTTCCCCGCTGAGCTCCACGGTGCAGTGCCTTTCTTTTTTCAAAGAAAATCTGGGCACCGTGGCCACCAAGTTTTTGCTCAGAGCTGTCGGCCTCTAGAGCGGCCGAGCAAGCGCGCAGCTCCAGGGGGAACGAGGACTGCTGGCAGCCTCCCTCTCTCCCTGCAAGTCCGGGATTCTTCACGTGACCCATTTCTACAGCTGATTGTTTTACAACAAAAAGATAACTCATTAGACTTCCTGTGCTAAGCAGCGTTGAGCCAGTTTTATAGATCTCACTATCTGTAGTGAGATAAGAGATTTCACATCTGTGTACCAGAGGCAAGTCTGCAGCGACTGAGAGGGTAGCCTTCCTGGTTTTTTCCCCGCATTTGTGCTCAGTGAATGCCCTGTTATGATGATCCTCGTACATGTGGATCTAACCCCCAGTTTTTGAACAGACATTGTTGCTGTACATCTTACAGCACTTTTCAAGGAGTTAAATTCTCGTGTCACAGTCAAATTCCATTTCAGCATAGCTGTGTTCTTCCCACCTACAATTTTCTCTGCTGTGCTGGATAATAATTGCATGTTTTTAATTCTTCTGACCTAGACTGCTCTATATTGCTCTGTGGAGAGCTACTTAGGGGGCAGTTTATTTCAACGCTTCCAGTAATGGGGAAGTGGTTTTGCCTACAGAGCAAACTTACGGTTTTTCCTTGTTTCCGAACTGCTTCAGAATCCATTTGGGATGAAAAAGGCAACGTACCTTTAAAATCGGTTCTCGCTAGGTCTGTTTGGTTTGTTAGGAACTGAAAATTTCAGCAAGGAGGCTTCCTGCCTCTTCGAAAGGCGATGTTGTCTTTATTTTCTGCTCATAGAGGCACATATTAAAACCTGAAATGCATCCCCAGGGGGAGAGATTCCCCAGGCTCCATCCTAGCAGAGCAGCCCAAGGTACGAGCGGAGTGAGCCCGACAGCGTTTTCTACGGGGCGTATGACCAGGGTGTATGATCCCTAATCCTTAAGCCACAGTGGAGGAAAGAGGAATATGAAACTGTTTTCCCCTCCCCTTTGTACATGCAAGCCTTTGACATGAAGTACCACGGCTGCAAGCTGTCTTGAGTACAGCCGCCTTGCGATCCTTGCCTGTCCTCTGCAGAGCAGCAAGCCAGCTTGATTAACGCTTGATTACCTGTCGTGCACCACGTTCTTGCAGTTAAGGACAACCGTGATTCCAGAGACCGTTGCCATCGTAGCTTGGACTGTCGACACCAACCTGAAACCAAGAACGGGAACGGGTCAGACCCAAAGGCCGCCCTATAATGGCCAAAACACAGAGCTTTCATAGGCGGGGGCACGGTTGCCTGGAGCATGCTGTTGGCACTTAGACGCCTACTCTGTGCACGCCCTGAAAGCCTCCTAATGGTGCCGAGGGCTCTGCCCCTGCACCTCCTCACGTGGGACACGCGGCCCGACGCCGCTCCACAGAGGTCCACGTGGGTGGGCCAGGCCACGTCGCTTGAGGACACAGCTCGTGGTTTTGTTTCGGAGCCCTATATCTCCCGGAGACGCGGCCCAGGAGGAGTCGCGCCCGGTTTCCCAATGGGCAAGCGATGCGCCACAGCATCTCTGCCCCAAAGATCTGACCTACGAGAGGTAGATGCAAGTCTGATGTGGGGCAGTAGAGGACAAAACAGGCTTTGTGCATAGCCCACCCTGCCTGGACCGCCGTCGCCGTGGCCCCGGCGCGCCGCTCCATGCTCCCTTCGTCACGAGGCGTGGGGCGGGTGCCCTCTGCCTCACCGGGAAGGTGGTCACGGGCTGTTCCCGTGCAGAGGGGCGGCGTGATGGCTCTGGGCCACCATGGGGCTGGGCTCCGGACCCCCGTGGGGCTGGGCTGCAGAACCCCGTGGGGCTGGGCTGCAGAGCGATGTGGGTCTGGGCTCCGGACCCCCGTGGGGCTGGGCTGCAGAGCGATGTGGGTCTGGGCTCCGGACCCCCGTGGGGCTGGGCT